ACACAGCATCAGCCGCAGCCGCAACAGCAGCAACAGCCGCAGCAACAGCTACAGACGCAGCCGCATGAGCAGCAACCCCAACAGCAGCAGCCAGAGAGGCCAACGGCGGGGGATATGGCGGCTCCAAGCACCCCCAACAGCACTCAGGCGATGGCTATGATCCTAAAGCGGGTCGGATGGCAGATGCCGGGCGGCACAACAACCGTCCCACTCACACGCCTGACGGTCCGCCTAGCGACACAGCTGCAATGCGGGGCCACCGAGGAGAAACGGGGACGCTTGATGGCAGCATTTGTGCAAGAAGCGTTGCACCCGCAGGAAACGACACCTTCATCCTCAGCGGAAACAAGCCGCTTCAGGGCGACGCAAGCCCGCTTGTGGTCGGGGGTGCGGTGGGAGAACGAGAACAAAGAAACGCTGTGGCGGCTCGCCGTGGACGGCATTCCCCTGCCCGGCAACACGCACCTGGCCCGCATGGTGCCGGAACGCTGTGGGTGTGGAGGGTTCGGCAACGCCAGCAATCAGCACTGCTCCCCACGCATGCACCACTTCTGGGAGTGCCCCGTCGCACAAGCTGTCCGGGAGCAGATTGATCGACACATACAGCCCTCCCAGGAGGCAGCGACAGGCGGCATCACCCGGAAGCAGCTGTGGTTGGTCCAAGCCCCGACCGGCTGCGAGCAGGCCCCCTGGGATGTGATCGCCCTGGCAGCCCTGTCTGCCATGGAGGTAGGCAGGTGTTGTCTGCGAGCAGCCGGAAGGCGACTGGAAAGGGCGGCTAACCCCGCGACAGAACAGCCAGAGCAAGCGCAACAGATCCAGGCGCAAGGGCCCCAACAGCGGCGGATAACGGACTTCTTTCACCTGGCCAACGGAGTGAGACCGCACGAGGGGCCGCCGCTGAACGCGCCGGTACTCGAGGATCAAACGCAGGGGCCCATCGCGGGACCGGGGACGGCAACAGCAGCAGCAACAGCAGCAGCAACAGCAGCAGCAGCAGCAGCAACAGCAGCAGC